TTTGAACAAATCATACAGCTTATTTCTGTTAAGAAGAAATGCAGCAGAAGAATCAGCGAATAGACTTTTTTTTAATTTTCTCATGTGTTTTAGTATATTTTAATATTTCAGTTGATTTAGAGATTTCATGCAAAAGCAGTGAAATCTTGCCTAATTATGAGTAAATTACATTTTGCTCCATTGATTAGTGTGATTGTATTTGTTTCTAACTTTCTTAATATAACTTATTTAGTCTGTGTACTTTCTAATTATTGTTCTTTTACGTCAGGATCAGCGGGAGAATGCAAAATGGGCACATCAAATATTACTTAAACACTTGGCTGTACCAATGTTGGCTACTTACATTGATTTGTTGAGGTTTTGCAAAACAATAGTTAGTGCTATGTTTGATATTTACAAGAAATTAAATTGTAGTCTGAATTGATGATTTATGAATTTCGATTTTACTTATGATGCTAGGAAAAATAGCCAAATACAGAATTTTTTTCAAGCTGAAAGTTTTTTTGGTTCTCTACACACCTGAATGAAAAAATATTCTCTTTTATCCAAATGAGTTGAGTTTTGAAAAGCTTTATTTTTTTATTAAGATTTTCGCTTTCAGATTTAAAGTGAAATATTTCTAGGGGCGCTATCTATTGAATTTCCTTCTGGAGCAAAGCGATACCGACAAAGTTCTAAACAAAATGAATATTTGTATTCAGGACTTTATTTCTGAAAAAGTGCTTGATCCACAAACAGTTGCTATCTGCAAAACACTTACTGTAAGAGTTTTTTTCATTGAGCTCCATGTCGGATTCCATTTAATTAGTGTTTTTCATTGTTGAATTCTGGTTGAAACCTCTTTTTAGCTTCCAATATGCGGCATTTTTTGCAGCAATTGAAAAGCATACGTCGTACTTTTGTTCTATTTTTAAAGATGCTAGATTTGAGCATGAGATCTTCATGTATTCATTAATTTTAAAGCAGATCATTGCAAATGTAAAGATGAAAGATTTCCAGAAAAGACATGCGAAAAATATCTGTTTGCTGACCGTTTCACCTACTTTCACACATACTGAATATCGCTCAAGATCAAGATCACACGAATACATGTTTCGGTAAGTACCTTTTGGTGTGTGTGTTACATTTTTCAGGTTTACTTATTTAAACTCTACTTCTAGATATCGTTTCGCTAATATTTAGAATGCGCAACTTTGAAACATGTTTTTTTCTTGACGATTAATTATCAACGAAATACTATGATCTAATTTTCCATTCTTTTTTTAGAGTTTTACTTCCGAATGTAGCGGATAGAGTGGAGCCAATACGGCTGAATTTGCCAGCTACGCAAGACATATCTATATGTGAAGCTGTTGATCACTGTATCCGATTAGTATCGCGCAAAGTAGTGGAAGTGCATCGCAAATACCCAGACCTTAAAATTGTTTTGGTTGGTTGGGGAACATCTTGTGTTATAAACCACCAGGTAAGTTATATATTTTAAAAATGCATTTGTTGAATGATAGACTTTTGGCTGATCCGAATGGCATTATATTTCAGGTTGTTCAATGTATGCCGAATGTATCCGCTATTATCAACTTTGCCTTCCCGATGAAGACGGCCGATGGACCAAGGGGTGTAAGTTGTTTTTCTCATTGTTTTATCCTGGTTAGTTAAAATATTTTCGATGTGATGCTTGGAATTACTCGAATTAATTCATAGATATTACTGATTTAGGATGTTGACGATGATATACTGCTTACATATTGTCCAACATTATTTGTTGTTGGTGATCAGGCTACTGATTGTGATGTTCGTGAACTGCAGGTTATGGCGACGAGAATGATTGGTTGGTTGCTTCAGCTCCTTAACATGTTTTATAAAGCTAAATTGTGTATTGCTTTTGCTGAATGCTTTAATAAATTTCTTCTACTTTATATTCTACTTACAGTGTATAATATTAAAGCAGCTTAACAATCTTTTATTGAATATAAATAAAAACCTAGTGAAATTGATTGTAATTTTCAGCTCCCACAGGAGTAATTGTTGTTGGTTCATCAAACTGTGATTTGCATCCTTCAACATTGCGGCTAACTATCGAACGATTTACTCACCGAACTGTACAAAGAGCCTTATTAGTGTGTTTCACTTATTGCAACATTAAGTAAAGAAGTATCGATACTGAAATATTTTATTTTTTACATCATTTTGGAATATCTTAAGTAAGAGAAATTTTTTAGGATGATGTAGTCGATTTTCTACAATTGTATTGTTCCTCGTCAACTACTCACTCTTTTCGCTTGCATCCACTGAAACTTGTTGAAGTGAACGATATGGATTTGTCAGTTCTGCGTACATCCAATCTTTTTTCGGGCAACCAGGCGAAATCTATTAAATTCGGTTCTACACTAAAAGCTGGCAAATGAAGGCGTGTAACTGACAAGTATGTATTTAAAATGTTATTTTTAGAGATTTATCATAATTTATTACGAAGAATTTCTGTAAAAATAGCATTTTATGACAAATATAATGTTAAGGGAAGAGTAAATCACTTTTTTCCCAATGGGTTTTTCTCCGATTTTTTTACATATATTTTATTATATGAGATATATGGGAATGATTAAAAGGAAATAAGTAGATATAAATTTCGTAGTGTATATTTCTTTCAGCTGTTGTATGACCTATAAATTTGTTATTATTTATTTGTAAACATTATTTATCTCTTTTTTCTTTTCAGTTCACTGAATACTTCTGTTGACAAGCATTCATAAGAAATATTTTGGATACAGACATTCCATACAGGACTAATATCGGTTAAATTTTTGAGCAAAATATGAATCTCATTACGATTCTTTATCTTCATCATTATATATGTATAATATGTGACTTCTTGTTTTCATATAGCTTCCCTAATCGCCAAATATTGTAAAGCTGTACGAGTAACATATCAACTAGTAACTCTTCCACATTGAAATAGCAAAATGAATTGTACTATATCTAATGCATATAATTCAATTCTTCTACGTTGCATTTTCAGTTACTTAAATTGAAACGTTATGGAAATCAGATGGTGTGTAGAAATGAGATAAAATAGTCACTGTAATAATCGCTCGCATTTTTTATGCAGTTGATTATTTAATGCGATGTTCTCACAAAAGCACCATGATTCTGCACTTGTCATAAACATTGAAGATATTTGTTGCACCAAATACTACCCTACAACTGAAGTCTTTTGCATTTCACGACAGAAGAGTTAAATCAACATTAATACTACTGTTATTGTTTAAAATCCATCTTTAGTTTAATTGAAAACTGATTTATAAATTTTTTTTATTGATTTCTTTTGGGGAGCAAAGAAGAGAACTTTTGTCCAAGATAGCTTTTTATTTTGTTGCCTTATGTCTAACATAAAAGCTTTACAGAGATGTTGTATTTCCAGCTCTTTTTGTCCATAATGTGTGGTATAGGTTAATTTTATTGTTGATTTGGTTTTGAATGTTCTCTGAATATATATATATATATATATATATATATATATATATATATATATATTTATGAAGCTTTTGTTTTACAAATTGTATTAGGAGGCTAAAAGCTTCTCCCTTCGCTGTCACTAAAATTCATAGAAAACTTATCGTTTCGATTTTCTCTGCACAAGAGTGGAATGACTTTTAAATATCGAAAGTATAAAATAACTTTTTTTTGTTCATATTAATTAAATATGTTGAAAGCCTTTGGTTAGTGTCATCGATCTTGTTCATTAAGGTTTAATTAAAAAATTATAATTTGCCTTCTGAACCTGGAAGGATACACTAGAGGTTTATAAAAATGAAGCCTTATAAAATTAAACGGTGAAAACTATTTCTTGCCTTTTGGAAATAGAAAGTGAATGAGAAAAAAAAAGCAAATGCAAGCAGTGCATAATTATAACACCAATATATTCTTATCCAAATAGTGCATATTGCGATTATGTAGCTATTATTTCAAATCATATAAATAGCTTTTTGTTTTTGTGAAATCATCAGTAAGATGATGGCTTCATAATGAATTGTATATGGCTAAGATTGAAACTGACTGATGAACGATTTGATCAGTGACAGCACATGAAAGAGTTTAATATACAAAATCATAAATGAAGAGTGATATGCTACGAAAATTCTAATGAATTAGAAAGATGACAGTCACATATTAATCAGAAGATGATGGTTGAGTAAAGAAAAAAAAAGAAAAAATCATTTCTATCGTTAGGTTGCAACATTTTCCTTTAGAAAAATCCCAGTATGGTGAAAGATGACAAATGGGTAATGTCACCGTATGCTGGTTTTTCCTTTTTCTGCTCTTCTCCCGGTCCGTGTACTATAATGCAAGGGAGTAAAGGTGACTGAAGAATAACAGAATGTTGAGGACAAGTCTCCTCTCTCTCTACAGCAGAGAGGATAAACTAGTAGTAGTTAACAGGAGGTAAAAATCGTGATAACCCATTAATGTACTCTTCTCATTCTCCTCTCCTCTCAACCCGTAACATTCAACATTCATCGATTATCGCTTGCATATGTTCCAGTAAAATTCCTTTTGCAGTTGATATTTGTTTTGGAAAATACCAGCAATTAGATGATTTTAATTCATTAGTTAATTGTTACTACAGAATAATTAATATTTATTTGCAATAATACCTCAAATGAATGAGTATTATTATGTTTAAATTGATTATCCATGCTAAAACATTATATTATGGATTGGAAAAGCTAGTAAAATAATTTAAAAAAATTAGAGAGATAAATAAAAAATTGCATAAAGTAAATTAATTGGAATAGAAATTGATGGATCAGAAGTGATGTCATCAAGTATGAACACTGGAAGGAGACATTTGGACGAATGAATATAAGCAGTGCTCAATAAAACTGTTTGAAAGTAGCTGAAAAAATTTACAGATGAGTGATAATTGTACGAATGATTCAATCTGATCTAATATGATCTGTTTTCTTTCATGAATTTTTATCAACAATAAAAATTGCGGTATTATGGGAAAGTTATCAGTAGTTCTAATTACTGTACTGCTAATACAAAGCTATTGGATAAGTTATGCTGTAAGTTTGATTGTTTATTTTATTTTCTTTATTTATTAATTTTATTTCACTAAATTATTTATCGTTCTTATAATTTCAGTGTATTGGTTTAGGTGGTCGCAGCTTTTATGAATGTTACTCAGATCCTTTTTGCTCGGCAACAGATGTAAGTATGTTTCAATTTTTTGTAAATTCAAATTGTAGATTTTTTAAGCTTATTCATTACTTATTAATTCAAACTTTGAATTTAAATTTTATGTTTATTTTAAATTAAAAATTGATCAGTTTTTTTTTTTTTTATTTTCAATTAAGAATTGATTAGAGGATTGCATAAAAAATAGAATTTTGAATTTCTAAAAACAATTCTGACTTTTAAGAAGTTGCTAAATTTAAATGATTTCTCTCACAGTTTGAAAAATCGCTAAAAGTACGAGATGAAAGAAATGATAATGAATTGCAATTTTCTTATCAAGCTCGATTGGAACCACCTTTCATCTCAACGGTTTTTGCATTTCAATTAAATTTCTCTTTTTCATGATCTTACACTAGAATTTTTTTTTTTTTTTCATACCAGTCTTCTTACAAAACGCAAAAAACTTGATCCACCTAAAAAGAATGATATTGTTCTTCTGAAAATTAAATACCAAATGATATTTGCTTAAGAGATTATAATTTCAATCTTTTGCTTAATTATAAATCAAAAAACTATATCAAGAAGATTAATGAAGTTTAGATATAATTTGAACTTTGTTTTTGAATTGAAATTATAATTCTAACCATACTAACAGGTTTTTCTTTTCTTTTAAAGTCTTACAGAGATGAATTTTTAGTTAACAAAGAACATGGAATTAGAAAAATGGTGATATTATTGAAAAGATCTCAAGATCACTTTATTAGATTATCTTAACTTACAAGAATTAACAATTAAATTAATTTGAAAATTGATAAAATTTGAAACTTTGCTATAGATTAATGATGAAAGCGATGAATTTTTGGACTGTTGTCGTAAGCGAGGATTGCCAGAAGTTTGCTTACAGAAATGCTCTTATGTTAGCTATAATCAGAATATTGTATGTTGTCTAACCTTTTGTTAATATTTCTACAACTTATTAGAACGTTTCTTTTTTCTTTTTTCAACATGTCTTACTCTAATATCAATTTTTAATATTCCTTTATATCTTTTCAGTTTTAATTTATCAATAACTAAAATGTCTTAACAATGATAAAAACAGATCATAACAGGATTAATATGACTATTTTGTCATTTAAAGTAATCCTCCTTGCTTGTAAAAATCCACTTACAAAGCCATTGAGCTATAATTTTATCAAATCACTTCTAACATTTATAAAAATCAGCTAGCTAAGTCGGCTTTATATTATATTTATTAAGTTGGTTTAATTTATACAACTTATTATTATATTCTAGCTTCGAAAAATATTCACACAAGCAGATCCATGTCCTCTGATATCAGTTGGTGATATTCACTTTTGTGCAGCACAGGGTTATGACCATCGTCAATGTTGTGTCATGAATGGGGTCACTACGACGTTTGCAGGACAAAAATGCTTAATATTTTGTGATCAGATAAGTCTCTCTTCACTCATATAAATTTAATTTCCAATAAATTTGCTTTATGGATTTTGTGAGTGTATTAATAAATAAAATAAGAATACATTTTGTTAGGCATAATTCAATCTTTAGTACATAGAGAAAGCATTCTCAAAGGCTTTTTAAATTTGAATGATATGCAATCATATTCAAAACATTTCTTTCTGTCACACATCTGTCTCCATCTACATAAGACATATTTTAGAGGACACAAAATGGAACTATTTTTGATGCATCATATTTGCCATGTTTCGAACGATTTGAAAATATAAAAGAATGCTTTTGGCGTTGGGCTCGAAGACGTTACCAACTGGCGGAAATATCTAAGAGATATGAAATACATGAATCGAAGACGATCTCTGATCGTGTGATACAGTTGAATACTGATCAACCACCATCACCATTTGATAATTATTGATAGTTTGGAAATAAAATATTTTCAAAATAGTTTCTGAAATTCAACTTCATACTCTATGAAATGTACACTTCTTGAAATTAATGGTTAAAGAAGAAGGAATGATTGAAGAGAAAGATGTGTGTTATTTAAAAAATGAGAAAAAATGATTAAGGATTTTATGCTTGGTTAATTGAATTTTTCACATTCATTGCTTTTATAATTGTCGCTTCTACCATAATAACATTGATATGATCAGTGCTTTGCATTTTACTACTAAAATAATACTAACATAAAAATGTCCACTTCTTAATCAAAGTATAAAATACTATCATTTCAATATATAAACAATATAATTCTAACTAATTGTAACAAAATTGCTAACACTATAAATTGTAAACTATTCTCTAATAATAACTTATTAAAAGATGAAATAATCTAACTTAACTTATCTTTTTTGAATTCTCATATTCCTTATCAACTGCTAATCAGATATAGTAAATATTTTGCTTGTTAACAAGTTAGTAAACAAATTTCTTATTTGTGCTAATTACATTAGCTGTTTAATATATTACTGCATTTTAGGAATATTTTTTCTTCTTTTTAGCAAAAAAAAAAAAAAAAAAAACATTAATGTATTTTGACCTCGTGACCTTCTTTAGCAAGGAAGCATATGAAAGATATGCTAATAATCATTCAATAAAATCTTTGTTCTCTTGCATCAATGATTATAATTATAGCTAGATTTTAACGTTTGAGTATACTTGAGCCTTTCATTGCTATATCAGAAAAATTTTAGTTTTAAATTATTGCATTTAATTGCATATAAATTAAATACCAAACAATCTTGAATGAAGTGAGAAAAAAAAAGAAAAATGATATTACTACTTTTTAATCCATTAATGATGATAAAGAATTGTGTTATTGACAAAAAGTTGAGACCCATTGACCTCTTAAAAATATTTATTATCATTTGAAATGCTTCTTTTCTCAAAAATATGATTGACTTTTCATTTTTGGTCGCCCAAATGAAAAATGAATAGTTGCGAAGTTTGGAGGAATTAGAAAAGAGAGCAAATGAATATTGGAAACGATGAGAAGAAACGCTATATTATATTACTTTAAAAGTAATCTTAACTGCCTTTATGTATTAACAAAGCTTTTATGTTCCTCCTAAAACTTTCAATGTCAAATGTCAGTTTTACTTTTAGCTAGCAAAGACAAAAAAAAAAAAATAGAAATTTTCTGAATTTATTGCTTTACTCCAAAATCCAAACCATTGTTTATTAAGAATTAAAGTTGACTTCTAGCAGAGATAAAATTTGAAGCAATAATCTTGCATATCCGATTTACCGCACTGTTGGGACGATTATATACAAAGGCTTAACATTTCTAACGATTCACTGTAATACAATGGCATTTTTGATGAAAGAAGTAAGCTTTTAAATATCATTTATCACTGATAATTAATTCTTTTTATTCCTTTGTTTCTTCTCTCTTTTTTCTTTTCTTTTAATTTCTTATATAAATATTAGGAATGATTAAATAGGTGAGAAAAGTAATTTTAATTTAAAATCTATTGTATTGCAGTGTTTATTTGTTAGTAATTCAAAATATATTTCATTCCGGAATTTTATTTAACTATTATAGATATTTAAAAAATAATTCTTTTTGCCTGATTCAATCTTTTGTACAACTAACAAAAACCATCATAGATAGTGAGAATTTAAAGAATTCACATTTGTGTGTGAAAAGAGTAAAGAAATTAGAAAATTTTAAATTGAAATTAGAAGCAGAATTGATTGAAATTATATGAATTAATGAAATATATATGTACATATATGTTTTTTTTTTTTTTTTTTTTTTCTGAAGAGATTTTGCGGAAAAGAAATGAACTATGAAAGTGGTAGCATAGGGCGGTCTTATCCTTTGTATAGGTGCTAAATCGCATTGAATTACTTCAATGAATAATTATTTGCGCTTTTCTCAGCAAATAACAGATATAGAATAGCTTTTTGCCACTTTTTAAGTGCTCATTTGCTTCTATTCACATTGACAGTTTAAACTTTTTCATTGATAAAAGTAAAAAGAAAGGAAAGGAAACACATAAATAGAAACCATCAGCAGGTGAGTCTTTTCATAAATTGATCGATGGCATGCATAAAGTTACTTCTTAAAATTAATGGAAATTATTGTTTGCAAAAGTAGCAGGTAAGTATTGATTGTAGAATTTAATTTTACAATATTTTATTCGTTTTGTCGGAGATGTAAACTAGGAGAGAGAGAGAGAGGGAGAGAGAAAGAGAAAGAGGATAAAGAGTTGATTAGTAGTATAACAAAAATGGATATAAGTAAGTAAGAAAAGAACGAACATTTACTATTAAATGTCAGAATCGTTTTAATTTTCATAATGCATTAGCTAAATAGCTATTATATCATTGAAATGAAAATCTTTTCAATTTCAATATGTTATTTTTACCGCTGTTATCAATGATACATAGCAACAACATATTTCATATCAATAATATATATATATATTGATAATAAATTAAGAAGTGATAAAAATTCAGATCTTCTGAGAGATCTCAGTGAAAGAGATCTCTCAGAAGTGTTGCATTTCTTCCTTTCCAGTGATATGTGTATATCATATCACTTGCTGAAACTATGGCAATCTGCTAACAGAAGCTATTATTTTTCTCAGTGACACTTTGTAGATAAACTTTGCTTGAGGAAAAGTTTCCCATTTTAATTTCCAGTCACATCTATTCCATTATTCTAATAAATTATCATTTTGCATTATGAAGTAAATGCTTACATAAGCCAGGTTATCATCTTCCTTTGAACTTTAAACTTTTGAATGATTCTTGATTACTTTTCTTTTAGTTTTTTTTTTTCTAAATTCTTCGTTCTCAAAAAAAAAGGTCTAATCAGGTGGAAACAGTTACTCTCTGTGTCATTTCATTTAAATAAATTCATTTCGACTGTCATTTTTTTATTACTATGTAGGAATAACATGGACATTATCACTTATTGTCATTTCTTTGTTAAAATTTGACAGTAAAATTAACACCAAAAAAAAAAGAAAATTCTGAAAATCACATAGTAAATGCGAAGAACAATATTGAAATTTATTAAATTATAGAAAAAAAAATTAATTTGAATGGCTGTCTAACTTGAACTCTTAATATCTTGTTTTATTAGTCCCTTTTGTTGAAAAGTTCTAGTTAGAAGTTTGTTTGCTATCAAATGTCCAACAATTGATCAATTTAGACGAACAAATCCTTAAGGAGCAAACTTTTGAGCCATTTGTTCTCAAAGTATGAGAAAATCTTCCGAATAAAAAAAAAATAGAAAGACTAAAATGGTTGTTTTGCTATGGCTCTTTTCTCATCATTAATATATAAATTGGTATATGCCAATCTAAAATGAGACAAGAATATTCTTTCACAAAATTTGGATTTTTGAAATTTTGAAGTGCTCCGGAAAACTGCTATCAATTATTTAATGTTCCAGAAACTTTATTTTGTCATTTGTATGTTATCATGGCTCTCTTATTCAATGAAATTACAATTGCACACAAAAATTTTAATATACAAAGATAATCATTTAGAGTATTTTTAAAGTTCTTTTGAACTGCAATTCTCACCTGTCGAAATACAAACATAGGTTAATTTCTTGGCGAAGAGTCAAAAATAGTGTAATCCCAAATTATTGAGTAATATAATTGTTCAGAGGAAGTGAAAGTCTTTTAACGTGATAAAAAGATAAAAAGATTATCGCTCATTGGGAATTTACATTGTCACAGAGATGATTGTTTTCTCGAAAACTTAACTAATTTTCAGTGATACTAAGACCATCGTTAAGCACATAAGTCCTTTTCTTAACTTTAAAACAATTAGTAATCTTCTACTTATTGGATTTGAAAATAAAAAAAAAAAAAGCGAATAGTTGATGTGTCTCCTCTTACTTCCAATATTTTCTTTTGCTTATATAAAGATACTATCTTTAGAAATAATTTTGTTATTTCAAAGAAAAAAGAAAAACAAAAAAATGAAATTCAAATATGTCAAAAATTTTTTTTTATAACCTTATATTATTTAAAATTATTAAAATTTGCATGATTGCTGCTTTTTTAACAAAATATTTCTCATAAAAAAATGCTTCATTTAGTTTCAGTTCATTTTCACAAAAAAAAAAATTGCAGAAAGAAATTAATATTTGGGAATGAGCTTTGTTAAAAGAGCTTTTAGTCAATTGAAATTGTTTATGAAGTGTTTAAATTTGGGTGCAAATCATTTCGATTCTCTCAACAATACCAATTTCTTTCTTTTCTTTCTTCATTTTATTTCTGTGCTTAATAAGCATTAGTAATTGGAAACATATTATTTTCAATTTTTGTAATAATTCTTTAGCAAATTTAGCTATAAGAAATGGTTTTACATAATTATTTGCATATTTTTGTCATTCGAATTCTATTTCATTTATTTTGAGTTTTATGTAGAAGAGAACATTTTAAAATTTCAAGCCTTAGGAGACTTTTAAAATGACAAATTTATTATTATTATTATTATTAATATTCATTATTATTATTATTCACTTTAATGGAAAAGTCATTATTATTACTACTATTATTATGTTATTATTATTATTATTACTTCTACTACTACTACTATTACTATTGTTATTATTTATTATTAATATTAATACTATTATTGCTATTATGGTTATTATCAATTAGTAGTAAAATTTGAAATTGAAAATGAACTATTAGAGCTATCTATTTATTTCCATCACATTAATTTGTTAATCGTTTTTCAATGAATTTAATCCTTATCAGAGTCGTCAGTTTGCGCGCGTTAAAGCTTTTCTCAATTGCATTTAACTTTGCCTTAAATATGAAAGTACTGAGTGTGAAATTAGTTATTTTGATCGAAAAAGCTTACGAATCGGATATATTAAAATAAGCTTTAAAACTTCAAATTTTACATAAGATGGGACTAAAGCGTTTCACTTTTGAGCATAAA